TGTATATATTACTCAGAATACATACATGAGGAGTAAACAGAAAAACAATGACTATATATACCGTAGTGACTGGGAATTTTGTTTCGAAGTTGTACCAACCACTACCAACGGCTAATGAGAAGGAAATATATGAGGACGTGTTGTGGCCGTCATGTTGACACGCTTTCAGTTTAGGATTGGGAGCCAGGTTCCAACCCTCAACACTGCAGCGGCGCTGCGCGTCGACTCTATCTCCCACGTAAACTCGTTTTGGGATACCGCCACGGGGAAGTAACGCCCGACACCCAGCAGTTTTATCTAATGATATATACGTCAGCATAAGCGCACTGCACTGCTTCTTTCCGTTCACCATCGTTCCACTCGCACGAAGACAACTCATAATAACAGGATGTGGGGATGCGGGTAGCACGAATCGTATAAATCTGACGGTACTATTTGCCCTGCCATAGAATGGGGAGGGAAAAGCGGTCTCGAGTATGGATGCTGCCAAGCAACACTGACCGCAATCTTGAAGATGGTGGACGAGATCTCCACTACTGTGGTCTCCTTCTGCCCCAAGATGGAAGGAGACACTGTCGTGAACCTCCAACACGCTTCCTACGCACTGTATCGAGTGTGCCCTCTACGTTTACATATCCAGTACCTCAAACACGAACGGGATGGGTGCACTTGAATTAACGCGAATGTTGCCCTTCAAAAGATACCCTCATTCTGTTGTGACGTCACCACCAAGAATGAAATTGTGCTCCATCGAAGTCTCAACTTTCACCTAAGAACGGTCAAGCTAGCAAGGCTGCAGTTACACAGTGGAATGTAGTCAATTCTTTTCACATCGTGCCCCGGTATGAGACTTCCAACTTCACACCGTACAATTTAGGCACCGCTGCTGGAGCAGTTCGAGATGGGGCAGCTGTAGCCGCCGGTACCGTTGTTGGTGTAGCAAGTGAGTTATTACTTGCTGGGGAGATTAGTAGAAATATAGACAAGTAGATAGATATAGAAATATAGATATAGGATATAGAGATTAGGATCAACAGCAGCTTGTTCCTTTTTTCGAGGCAAAGATAGATGAGGAAGGCGACGCAGAGTTCGACTACACCACTTTAAGTAAAACAATGCCTTGTCTTTGTAGTCTTTTCAAAGCCTTATACTGAGTGTATGAGCCTTTTCATTCAGTAATAGGACACAGACAAGCAAACATGACGTGGTATTGTCGCGCCGCCGTGTCGCCCCCTCAGTTACCTTTACCCCTCTCGTCACAGTGACCTCGTAGTAGTGCACCCTGTAGTGTTGCGTAGTAGCACAGTAGTGTAGCGCTTTCATTATCATTGTAGGTGGCGCAGTTGATGTTGTCAAAGATGGAGCCAACGCTGTTGGGGAAGGAGTTGCAAATGCTGCTAGTAAGCATTCTACCATTTCATTGCTGAACCTCACCAAACTCCCTGACAGAATTATTTTTCTGAGTGAATTTGGGACCTTCTAGAACAAGCGGTGTAAACTCTAGGACTGTGTGTTATACGTCGCTCCGGGTGGAGCAGTTTCCCCTTTTGCCCTTGACTTATCTCTCTGCGGATATCCTTCGTCTTGTCTCGCTGCTCTGCTACCCCTTTCTCAGCCAATACAGTAACTGCGCAGAGATATGATCCCGTACTCGCGCCGGTCTGCCTTGCATTTCTCCCCAGTCATGTTGTGTTGGGAACGAGAAATTACACGCGCATCTGAAGGATGGCTGGAACGACGAGGACAGCAAGAGACAAGAGACGTCGCAAGCACAGTTGGATATCAACATGCACGTGTACTCGCGGGTCACGGCAGTCAGGGCGGTCCCACGTCTCCCTTCTGGCGAGTTTGAGCGCCATTGTTCTTGTTCTTTGCCGGGGTGTGGGAATCGATCGCCCACCTATCACTGATCTAGCAGAACAAGGCAGGCTGGAGGCGAGATAAAATCGCCCGACGTATAAGGGCTGCGTTTATACTTTGCGGCAGCGTAGTAGCGTAGCGCAGCGTAGCGTAGCGCTTCCAGCGTACGCCAGCGGCAGTGCCGAAGAGAGGATGCATATCGATCTAGCTTCACCAGCGGCACGCTGGCGTACGCTAGCGTAGCGTACGCCAGCGTTTCTCCAGCAGCTTCACCAGCTTTGTTTTGTTTTGCATAGCGCTTGCAGCAGCGACAGCCGGCAGTAGGACTATGTGATGAGTGGAGGGTACGAAACAGCATCGATTGGCGCGTTTCTCCTCGCCTTATCTCTACAAATGCAGCCATCGCTTCTGCCGTCTCCGACGGCCACAGTGTCAGTACAGTACACGTCGAGTACTGCGTTCTCTCACTCGGCCAATAGTCGTTATTCCTGCCGCTGCAAGCTAGCAAACGCTAGTGAAACGCTGGAGAAACGCTGGCGTACGCTAGCGTACGCCAGCGTGCCGCTGGTGACGCTGGTGAAGCTAGATCGATATGCATCCTCTCTTCGGCACTGCCGCTGGCGTACGCTGGAAGCGCTACGCTACGCTGCGCTACGCTACGCATAGCTGCTCGCAATAGTATAAGGGGACGATTAGCCTTACGTCCCCCGCTGCGATGTTACAAATTGTATTACAGTAGCGTGCGGAGAGTCATTGGGGAACAGACTCTCGCACGAAAAAGAGACTCTCAAGCTGTTTGCTCTCAGGCTGTTAACTGTATTAATTCCCAGCACGCATGGACGAACGAGATCGTTGCAAATGAAAATCAAGTGAACTTTACTTTTGGCAACACGCATGGGCGAGAGAGGGCCAGTCAACCTTTCACTCAAACACCATGGAAGTTCACATAGGTATCGGGATAGAGGGAGAGTTTAGTCTTGAATATGACCAGACAGCATATATGAGTCATTCGGTCCTAATGTGAGAGTTTCAATAGAAATAGGGCGAACATCAAATCAAATTCTTGCCCGTTTTCCCTGCTGACTTATAGTGTAGTTCGCTGCGGATGGTTGGGCGTGTCAGGCGGGATGAGTTGGCGCGTGCCAAACCCGTTCTCCACCAGTTGTTAAAGCGAGCAAATGATATGACTGTATCATATCGTTCGTATTACTTATTACCGATAAGCTTCATTCTTGGCCCTTCTTCTTCCTTTTCTCTTTTGTTCATTCGTACGTGAGCCTTTTATTCGTTGATCAATGCCCTACTGCAACAAAATGTCATTTTTTTCGTCTTGCCTTGTGGCCCTTTTTGTATACCGCTTGGAGTAAGCGTCGAGTTTACTGACACTGGGTTGTGATGACCTGAGAGTCGCAGCTGCTACGGATTTGACGTAGCACTTGCGTACCATCGCAAAGGAATTCCAACGGAATCCCCCTCCAAACTGAAATTAGGGTTGTTTAAAATGAGTCTTAAAAATAAAAGTATGGCACATGTTACTGTTTTTACAGCTGCTACTTATGGTGCTGCTAAAGAAGGAGCTGCTGTCGTCATCGGGAAAGTCGGTGAGTTATGCCATGATTATGTTAACATTCACTCTGATCACCAGCTCGATCTCATGATATGAAAGCTCTGAGAGCAAAATGGCTTTCTTTAGGTGACGCTGCTGAAGCCACTCGTGACGGAGTGGTTGCCGCTGGTGGCGCGGTTGCTACCGGTGCAAGTGAGTGCCTTTTGCCCTATGAAAGTGTGAATAATCTAGTAGAGCTGTCCCTTTTTGAAATGGACCACGTATTTCGCTTCTGGTCGTTATCGTCCTGCCACACAATAGCTAAATGTCTCGAAAAACGGGAAAAGTGTGAAAGCGGTCTTGAAGCAGTTCGAGGATCCTGGATGGTTTGATTGATCTTTCAGAAGTGCAACACATATTAGTTCAATTACCAAAAAATTTCCAAAGCGACTCGGGTCATCGTGTGGGCATTTTGAAAGGTCATCAAAAATGTTGCCGAAAAGTAACAGGCATTCGTATGGTCGTATGGCCAAAGTAGGGGTCAGCTTTCATAACTCTTATCACTAACTAAAG